ACATTACATCATGGTCATCATGATTATTTTTATATCTTATTTTTCTCACTATTCTTGCAGCATGGGTGAGCTCTATCATTATGGCAATATTTCTATTCTTTGGGCCTGTAATTGGCGTCGTCGTTAACCGTTTTGGATGTCGTGTGGCCAGGATCATAGGTTGCCTGTCCTGTGCTGTCGGTCTTGGCTTGGGCTCCCTGGCTCCGAACATCATTATTTTATATGTAGCCTTTTGTATACTCTTCGGCTTTGGTACGTCATTCATTTACCTTTCCTCGCCATTGATTATGACCCACTACTTTAATAAGAGAAGATCCGTGGCTCTTGGAATTGTGACAGCCGGTCAAGGTCTGGGAACTATGATATGTGGTCCCGTTTTACAGGTGATGGCTGCCATGTCCAACTGGAGGAAGACTTTTCTCATGTTCGCGGGTATTTTGGCTCTCTCGTCCTTGACGGGCTGCTTTCTGAAACACGATAGCTCCAGATCCACAGCTTCGTCGACCCAAGGCGAGAAAAATTCAAAGAAGTTTGGTTGGAATATAGCTGTTTGTAAGAACCCCAAATTTTTGGTTTTACTGGTTATGAGTACATTTTTCAACTTTGTTCGGATGATTCCTTACGTACACTTGGTGAGTTGCGGTATTAATTTGCATTAGCTATCGCGCATGGATTTACATCATATTACGCAGCATGAAAGTTTAGCCTAGCATATACCCGTTAATAAGAAAGAAACAGTTCCCTAGAGTATTATCACATGACTTTCAACTCCTGTACGTCATGATGACGTCAGAGGGAGCTCAATCAATAGAGAATGTTTCCTCTCTGATGAGGGCTTAGGATGTTAACCATCACGGAAGTGTTAACAAAGTCAGATTTAACAAGAACTTGCAGATGTGTTCGCTAATTTTAGCACTCTCAGAAGGTTGCTACGGGATCTCATTTAGATACCCAAAAACAAATTTTTAGAAAATCAATAGCTTACAAATGCAATAATTATTGCATTTTAATTTAAGTTTCGCTTTTTTCAACAAATTAAATTAAGGCCTATACTTAATGGGTAAACAAAACGTACAAGTTAAGAAGCTTACTCGCCGAGTCCAGAGGGCAAACGCTTCAATCGTTCCATTTGCGAGACGCAAAAATATATGGAATGTGTGACATGCTGCAGTGTAGATTTCTTATTAATTTATTTCTTTCATTATGTTCTTAGATAAAACACTGCGACGATCTTGGCATTCCAGCAGATAAGAGTTCCACACTTTTCACTATTATTGGAATATTTGCCGCCATTGGTCGTTTGTGCGCTGGCTGCCTTTGCGACCTCAAATATGTCAACTCACGCCTCCTCTTCCAGGCAAGCGTGTTATTGAGTAGCGCCTCGATCATGCTTCTAACAGTGCCAAAGACTTACACCCCACTGGCTGCAGTAGTCATAATATTCAGCCTAGGGGACGGACTGGTGGTGTCAACATTCGTTATCGAGCTGTTCAAGTCTGTAAAGGAGTCAGAAAGAGCACTTTGCCTTGGATTTTGCATGATGGCAGGTGGGGCCCTAATCTTCTGCGGCCCGCCTTTAGCTGGTAAGATGTCAAGAACTCTCCTTTTCTTTCCACCGTTCAAACTCTCTAGGTCTTAACCCCATTTTTTCTCTCCTTTCTAACCCGCATAAATTTCGTCGCGAATAAATTAGTTCAGACCATTTGGTTTTGAATCAAGATTAGTGGCACCCTCAAACTGTTAGGGTCGTAAAATCAAAATAAAATAGAAAAATAATAAATTAAGTTTTAGTAGTGGCGCTTCCACTAAAGGGAAATGGAATTTTGAGTAATTTTTTTTCGGTAAAAGTTAAACTGGAAAAATCTGAGAAAACGTCGTAAGGTCGGTTTCCAACATGGAACTCCACTCCACAGTTAACGCCAAGTTTTGGAATCGAACCTAGTTCACAGCGGTGGGAGGCTAGCGCTCTGACCACATTCTCATTACCTATTTTATGTATGATGTGGTGAAGTTTTGGGGAGAGGTGGCATGTTAATCAGCCCTAAGAATTGAAAGTTTAAGCCCAAGGGCTACCGAACAGTAAATTTCGAGTCCCATTAACCGGACATTGCGAACTTTCTCTTAGGAGCTGAGTGATGTTTCAATCTGGAAGCTACGATCTATTACTTTACTTTTACAAAAACAGTTTAGGTTCATGTCTGTGAATGAATAGGCGTATTGTTAATCAGAACTTTTATTTATCCCAAATTTAGGTCTTATGGCAGACAGATTTGGAAACTACATAGCTGCATTTCTCGTGGCGGGAGGTGTTGGGGTTGTCAGCTCTCCCATCCCTTTTCTCATTCCGTGTTTCGAGCCGCAAAATAACGGCGGAGATCCCGTGGAACATCTTGAAGAATTGATGGACAAGGATATATGTGTTTCTCCACCAAACTACAAATCTACAAATGGTGATATTCCCAGAACAGTTTATCCTAAAGAGTCAGTAGAGTCGTTGAATGCAAAAAGGACGTCTATGGTGCGCCCCGCGTCTAACAGGCCTGTATCGTTTATGTGGGCCATGGAAAGTCCTTATAATTTTTAACAAAGTATTCTATTCCAACTATACTAACAGAGTAGAGCGCTTTTCCATTGAGTGTCGTTGAACCATAATCAAAGTAATTACAACAGCCAATCAGGAGAAAGGAAAATACCTTGAAGAGCCAATGAGAACTCAAAATAAAAACTAAAGCGCGGGAAAACGCGGTTGGTGGCAACGTTTATATCAATTACTCCCGCTTCGCTCTTTGATTGGTTTGTTTACTACTAGTTGATTTAGTTAAGTAGACTGTCTTGTAAAGTTAATTTCAGATCGAAGAAAAATCGGTTATACGATTGCAAGTATTCTTCGGTAATGGGCCGTCTTGGTTTTCACGCGGAACACAAGTTCTACCTTATATTATTATATAGGGAGAAGTTCCATATTAATCAGTTGTTAGAGTTATAGGGTTAAATGATGGGTCAAGTGTTTGAAAATGGAATCTTTATTTTCTTATAACCAGATATAAATTATACAGAAAGACAAATTAATGTAACTTATTTTTCACTGGAGAATCGCAGTTTTTAAGTTTTTTAATTTATAAAATATGAATAAAAGAATACACACGCAATCATGTGCTTAGTAACTATCACAATAAGAGAGATGGTAAATTTTTAACTCGGAAGTGGAGAGATTTTTTTCGTCTCGTCAATGGTAGGGCAACTGAATTTCTGAGGTTCAATTCCTCGTGGGGAGTTATTATTTCGTAGTTATAGTACTGTACGCGTTCAAACCCGTTCAGGAACCAAAAGTAGAAGCAGTGTGTTGCTGAACGTCCTTTTTACTTATATAGCTGTGAAAATGAAGATCAGGAAAAAAGACCATTATCCACTGACATTTTAAAAAGCTACTAAAAAAAATCTTAGGCACAGAAACAAAATTTAGTAAAACTTTTTTACCGCTAAAGAATCAGTGTGTGCGTTTTTAGATATTTCATTATTTATAGCATAGATATGTGTATATATATATATATATATATAACTACTGCAGACAGTACTGCTTCGGCCTTCTGGGCCTTATCAGTACTTGTATTTTACTTGCTTGTCTCCACTAACATGTCGTACGCAACAACTGACAAAGCTTGTAAAAAGAAAATTTCATAGGCGCCCACCCCTCCTCAGAGCAGCGCTTTTCATAACCTTCGATCAGGCGTTTTTTTGTTTTCAGTCCGCAACCGCAAGCCTTTCGCACTCGAAAACCGCCTGATCGCAAGTTACGCTTTTCAAACCGCCTATTCTTCATGACACTACTTTCCTGATTTTTCTATTTTCTATTTTTATGATACTAATTTCTATAATTCCGATAACATTTTGACCAACGTGAGTCTGTCAGTCTATATAAGAATTCGCTGCAAAAGAATTTGCTAAATGCTTAGTTAAGAGCGTGGCTATTGTTAATTATTGCTATTGTTCACTTTATGTCACCTTGGGATTTACTTTACGCATCCAACCGTTTGATTGACAGCAGCTGAAACCTGCCAAGAGACTCATGTATTCTCAAAGCTTTATCTGCTGACCAATCACAACCGACTAATTCAAGATATGCAAATCACTATGCCGCCCGCTGATTATATGGGCACTGCAAGTACATGTCGCGAAAGACAATAGCATTCTGGGCGATTGTCAACAGCTTATTCGAGGAACTAGGCTCTAACAACAAAGAGATTATTCACTCACAGTAGGAGTAAAGTGCTCCTGCCCACGGCAAATGTCACTTATTTATTTTGAAAACAACGGTCATCATTCCATAATACGTAGGAGCCCAGCGGCCTAAGAAGTGCGATGTGACACTAGCACCCTCTTCACTTTCCTTTTCTAAAATACTTTGGAGAATTGGAATGCTTCTTCTGCCACAAGCCTTTGCTATTGGGTTGTCTTCAAGAATTCTGTCCAGCCACGGTGAACATTGTCTGGCCACCCACGGGTGAACCTCATCCACTTGACCTGAGATGAAATGTTTTGACCAAGTTATGAAGAACAATATACATTCAAAATGAAAGTTTTTCTTTAGTCAGTATTGCCCGCAAAGGTCTGGACCTAGTTGTTCAAAAGCTGAATAACAGTATCCAACGGATAAATCGTTATCTTGCGAAGAAACGTGAACGAAACCTACTGTTTTCACCGCCAATTAAAGATTCATCCCGCGTTTGGCGTTATCCATAAGAAAAGAACCTACAATAATTCTGGTAAGTGAGGATTTAAAAATGAGAAGATCTACACAGGTAGGGGTTCTGAGAGGCCAGCAGCACATACCCCCAAAAAAATGACCAAAGTACCCCACCACCCACCTCCCTCTTGTCTTGAAATGTTCCTCTTGACACTCTTAAGATAGAAATCCCATGCATTTCAAACATAAAAAGGTCGCCAGGTATAAATTTTGGTACAAATATGTACTAATACTATGTCCCTAAAGTGCAGTCTTCATACTGGGTAACCTGCTGTCAAATCCCCACCCAGAATACTCTTCTCATTCAACATGGCTGGAATGTTGGACTTCAATTCTATGCTCTTTACTGTAGGAAAACAATAGCCATAAAGTTACAATCAGAGCCACTGAGGGCTGCAAATAGTTCTACTGACTGCTGCTTATGGATGTTAGCTCTGTATCAATGAATGTCATCAATCATCTCTCATCTCTACCTGTATCTTTTAGCACATCATCACCATATGGTATGCCTCTAGCCCACATCTCCCACATCCTGTCGAATTCCACTGCAATTTCTGATGGTTTCAAGTTGGATCCAGGGTCTAAGGAAGAAATTTTCAAAAACAATTATAGAACATTACACTGTTAACCCTTTCACTCCCAAGATCTCATTAGCAATTCTCCTTACTATCTGCCATACAATTCTCATAATGTTGTTTGGAGAATTTGGTATTGGATCAACTGATAATTACCTAATTGATATTTTTCTTTATTCTCAATACTAGTCTGCTTTAATGTTGTTTCAAAATTGTAAGGAGAAATTCAGTCTTGATCACTCATGGGAGTTAAAGGGTTAATAACCCTTTACCTCCCAAGATCTCATTAGTAATTCTTCTTACTGTCTGCCAAATGATTCTCATTACGTTAGTTTGGAGAATTTGGTATTGGATCAATTAGTAATCCCACAACTGATATTTTTCTTTATTCTCATCACTTGTCTGAATGATATTGCATAGATGTAGTAAGAAGAAAGGAGAAATTCTGTCTTGGTCACTCACAGGAGTTAAAGGGTTAAAACAAGGCAACTCGATCAATTCCCATTTGCAAATTTCAGGTACAAATAATAGTCAGTTATTAATGTTAGCTTGTGCTAGTTATTTTCCTCATGAAAATATATTTCACCATCAAAGGAGAAGAAGGATTTTCATTATGGAACCATAACACAAGAGACCCACTCAACTTTTAGGTATCAAAACAAAATGAATTTTACATGGGATTATGGATTTAACAGAGCTTAGTAGAAGATGGGTCTATCCTTAATTGTCAAATTTTCAACTCAGGATATTGATATTAGTGTTCTGATTGGTTCATTCACCTCCGGGCATCAAGCAAGCAGACCCTCATTAGTGCTGCAGGATGAAAATTTCTCCACCTACAGGAAGATAGGAGATGAGTTGGGAGAGGTTTTACATATGTCTGGCACTAATGGTAGCACCCTTAAAAACATCTTGCTGGCTAGAGTATCTCAAGGCCTCATATTTTCCTGTAGGCACAGAAATGCTTGTGCTGAAGTGCTAGTTCTGAGGGTCTTCTCTCAGGCTACCATTTGGACTGAATTGTATCAATTGTATTGTTTGATAAAAATGTAAAGGAACATGTCTCAATACACACTTCTTGGCATGCAGGGAATCTAATCACGACTACATTGACTGAAAAATTCAAAGTAACGGTGGCAGAAACAGATTGTGTGGGGTCTTGTGCAAGCATCTTGTTACTTTATCGCAGTATGTCGTTTTATTTTATCACCTTTCCGTGACAAAAAGGGGATCAAATGCAACCTTGCGCTGAAACCCTTAGCTATGCTGTTGGAGAGTTCTGTCTGTCACGCAATATCATACTCTCGAACAAGGTCATCGGGGTGTATGACAAAAAGAACACATAATCATGAAATGATTAGTATATAAATACCTGGCAGATACAGTGGAATATTGCAAGTTGTCTCATGCGTGTGAGCTAGATCTCCGCTCATTACTAAAGCTACCCGCTGCTCAAGACCTGAAACGAATTCGTGGAAAGCCTTCCCAATTACATCCAGTCCTTCAGTATTTCTCGCAGTAGCCACAATCACGTACTTCACCTTATCCGAGTCAGTCTTACTGTTAATAAACCATAGAGGCACAACCTCAGCCCACCTTATCGGTGCCTCCATCATAGAAAACGTTATGACACCATCTGCTTTAATCCCTCTCTGCTGAACAAACTCTAGAAGCTGAGCAGCGAGTTGAGAATCTAACGGAACATTCAGCTCGACTTCTCGCCACTCGTCATTCCACAGAGCATTTCCTTGCGCAACAGAGGCCAAGTAGATACCAAGCGAGCCAGATGACAGGGATAACCCATGTGGGGTAACAAGAATAACGACATCAGGGTTCATCTTGGCCAACAAGTCAGCTGCCCGCTCACAAGAAGAGTACAATGCAGAGCACTGTTTGATGAGCCCTGTAGGCATTGTGGAATTCCTTTTACGGCATGCGACGCTTTCCGAGTGAGGATCACCATCAAATATCATTGTTCCATGAGGCAGAACAGCTGCTCCGACCAAAACCATGTTGAGAATTTCCTTTACCTTAGAAAGTGAACCTTAATGGAGTTTCTCCGCTACTAACTGGATTATCGTTGTGTATGACACACGAATTATCCCACCTTACAACCACTGCAGCAGAGTAGGAAAATGATCAATGAAATAAAGGGAAAATGAAAGACGCCAGAGCCTTTTCCAGGCGCTCAGTTAGTAAAACGGAGCGTGAAAGAAAATTTAGTAACGGATGAGCGAAAAAACAGGGAAGACTTGCGTTGGGGTGTGCAATGAACACGACTCGACCCAAGCCTCCATCGCTTTTGCACTCCTCTGCTCCAAACACACTTTTGCCTTTTTGCTCCGTTCGACAAACTGAACATCTGAAACAGGCTAAATACGCCATCAAAAGTAGACGTTTAAAACGTGAAACCAAGGAGAGACCCTAGAAACGAAGGAGCTTGAAATTACAAGGCTTCACGGGGAACCCAACTTCTCAACTTTGAACAGCTACTTCACGCTACCTCTACTTGGCATTCGTAACTCAGATCATCGAAACTGCTTTAGAGTTTCAAGAAAACCAGATGGTAAAAGGACGCACAGTAGATGATCGCACTCGTGATAACAAAGTTACCGTGCCATCGAGGAAGGAGTCTTAGATTTATGTGTGAGAAGAATTGGCGAACCCTTGATAACTAACCTTTTCACCCCAACTGCAACATGATTTGTGATTCCCAGCGATGCAGACTCTCCTTCTTATGAGCACCGAGCTTAAGTACTGCAGGATGGACAAGTCTACCTCTATCGCTTACACCAGTAGCACATATATGCATACACATCGTGCATTTCATTCGTACACAATCATATTTCGAGCAAGCTTTCAACTCTTGGAAGTGTCGTGATTGAAACAGATTACTGGTTAATCTGATGCAAAACTAAAGCGTTCGCAAACGAATCATCCTCGTCATTTTCCCGCGTTTGAGGACGCTCTTCATTTATGACGGTTTTGGTTACGATTACTTGTGACAATCAATCAAGGAGCTTCCTATTGCAAGAGAAACCAGGGTACCTTGTACCTTCAAATTAGCTGAACTACGTGCAGTCCATCCCCTCCAGGGAAGCCGTCGCGCGGGAGTAAAAAAATAGCAGGTGGTTAACGGGCCACACGGAACTTTGGGAATAACGTGCAGACCCAGAGTTCGCGAGGCGGGCTATCACCAGTTTCTTGTGTGTGTTTTACTAATATTTTTTAACTCACCCAACGAACTTAGCCGAAACGGAGGGACTGCTCGTAGTCTACACACAATCCCAAAAACCACGTCGTCAAAATCGTGTCAAAACCGTTATTTTATTGCTATTGCCGCATAAATTAAATACTCCTATTATATATAATTTGTTTGCACTAATCAAAGGCATAAAAAATGGACAGTAACAAGCGAGAAAATTAGGAGAAAAGCTTAGAAAGCATGAGTATGGATAAAAAGTGAAAATATTTCCCTAGAAGAAAATACTCAAGCTCATCGACATTTCACGCGGACAACACACGGAAACAGTTTGACGATCTCGGGGAATTCATTTCATTTCTTTACTGAAGCTTTGAGATAAGTTTTTAGTTAAGAAGGAGAGAGAGAGAGAAAAACAACAACAATAACAACAACAACATAACATATGTGAGAATGTCCGGCATCAAGTTCCTGAAGTTACATGCGACTGACGAATCGGTCAAATGAAAAACATAAATAAAGTTAAGACAACAAAAATAAATAGGATCTTGATCGTAGTCCCCGTTTGTTAACTGAAGGTCCTCTCGAGGTCTTTAAGCGTCATTATAACAAATTTCTCATTGGTGCACACCCAAAGAAGAGGAAAGAAGATTTCGTCTGTTCTACGACCACGATTAAAAGAAAATGATTTGCAATCTGTCACACATTTTAAAATAACAAGATTTACTTGCAATTTAGCGAGAAAACGAGTTCAAGCAAAGAATGAAGTCCACTCTTATCACTGCTTTCTTAGGAATCAAGTAAACTGTCTCAAGTCTTCAGAAGGATAGCACAAAATGCCGATGAGCTCAATGGTTTGGATGAGAGAGTAATAAGAGAGTATAATACAAATTCAACACCACAGCAAGCATACCGCGTCAAAATTTATACAAAAGTTTCCTATTGTGTTACACAGCCGTGCTTCCACTGCCTAGAAAATGAAAGGGACAGAAAAGAATGACATGATACTGGATATGTGCAGCTAAAACATAGCAAGGTGCCAAAAGAGTTTAGATATCTAGATTAGTAAATTTGTATTTACAATAATTCAGTGGTGTTTTTATAACTACTAAGAAGGAAAAATATAGCCACACCGTCAAGGTAAAAATCATAAAGACGCATTTTACAGATTTTACTTCACTTACCAGATTTGGAATTCCTAGTGATGGGCCCCCATAACCGTACGGTTCCGTCGTCACTGGCTGAAGCCAACATATAGATATCCCTGGGGTTCCAACTGACACAATTTACTGTTCGCGTGTGTCCACTAAGTACTGCAACTGGTTTTTCACGTTTGAAATGCCAAATGTACACCTTGTGATCTGTGACAAGCATACGGTATTTGTTACTGGATATTTGTGGCAATGTCTCATAGGTTAAAATGATTATGTAAGAGTCAAGACTAAGTTTAAGATAAGTCGTAGTATTTTTGAATGCTAAACGCCAACATAAACTTCAAGCAGTGAGTGAAAAGCACTAAGACCTCTTGGAAACTTTGCCTCATCAGCTGCAATCGCAGGAAAACCAAGAAATCAAAATGTAATGGGTAGACCTATAACACTGACTCTTAAGCTGTTTGAGATCATCGTGTTATTTTCTTGATAGAACGAAATTCTATTCGCAAATTTGTTCTGGCCATTTACATCGAAGAAGACGAAACGCTACAGGGTAAAATCAAGCTTCGTGGGTCACGCAATCCGATAGCACACTTTTATTCCTCAGATAGCCAAGGGTTTTCTAATCTAGACACACAATTTTTCAAAATGACATTCAGCAAAGACCATCCATATCCCTTCTGACACTCACTGAAAATTACCCGGTTACCTTTATGCAGTGTACCTACAACTACCTCTCGTAATGCATGTTTATTGTAAATTTTGACATTGATTCCTAGCTAGCAATTAAATGATCACTGTCACTTACAGTCAGCCTCACCTTCACTGCCACTGGCGAGAAAATCTTGATTCGCACCACCGAAACACGAGTATATAGTGAACCTGGCTTGCCTCACACCTTGGTATTTTCTGATTAGAACTCGATCTCTAATATCCCATAAATGAAGTCCCTGCAAGGATGGTGAAACACAACATAAAATTGAAGGCAAATTTTCAAAACACCCGAACCATAAAATTTTTCCCTGGAGAAGGTACACAGCGGATATCCATACCTGTGAAGCTACGTTTAAAAGTGCCCGTCGATCATCATCAGATACAGAAAATGACATAATTGGACGGTCTTCTTGTACTCTGAGAATATAAACAAACAAACAAAAA